GACCTGTACTCAAAAAAGTATAAGACACTGAATAAAGAAACTGAAGAAGATACAAATAAGTGGAAGCATATACTATATCCATGGATAGCAAGAATGAACATCATTAAAATGTCCATTCTACCCAAAGCTATCTACAGATTCAATGCAGTTCCTATCAAGATACCAATGGTTTATTTCACAGAAGTAGAACAAATATTCCAAAAATATATGGAACTACAAAAGACCCAGAATAACCACAGCAATTATGAGAAAGAAGAACAACATTGAAGGAATATACTGCCTGATATCAACCTATACTACAAAGCCATAGTAACCAGAACAGCATGGTATTGGCATAAAAACAGACATATAAATCAATGGAACAAACTAGAGAGCACAGAAATAAACCCATGGGCCCTGGCCAGTTGGTTCAGTGGTTAGGGTTGGCCCACAGACCAATGATTCACAGGTTTGATTCTGGTCAAGGGCATGTATTTTGCTTGCAGTTTGTCCCCGGTCCTGGTCGGGATCCTGCAGGAGGCAGCCAGTTGATGTGTCTTTCTCATCTCTCTCTCTCTCTCTCTCTCTCTCTCTCTCTCTCTCTCTCTCTCTCCCCTCCCTCACTTTCTCTCCCCTCTCTCCCTCCCTCCTTCCCACTCTATCTGAAGATAAATAGAAAAATGTCCTTGGGTGAGGATTAAAAGAAGAAAAAGAAATAAACCTACACCTTTATGGTCAATTAATATTCGACAAAGGAAGCAAGAACATATAGTGGGGTAAAGATAGTCTACTCAATTAATGGTGTTGAGAAAATGAGACAGATGTGTGCAAAAAAAGAAAGTAGACCACCTTCTTACTCCAAATACAAGAATAAAGTAAAAATAGATTAAAGGCTTAAATATTACACTTGAAACCATGAAACAATTAGAAAAAAACATAGGCAGTAAAATATCGGACATTTCTGGTAGCAATATGTTTTCTGATATATCTCCTCAGGCAAAGGAAATAAAAGAAAAGATAAACAAATTTGACTACATCAAATTAAAAAGTTTTTGCACACAATGGGAGAAAATACTTGCAAATCACCTATCTGATAAGGAACTTGATTCAAAATATGTAAAAACCTCTGATAATTCAACAATAAAAAGACAACCCAGTTAAGTGGGCAAATTATCTGAATAAACATTTTTCTAAAAAGGATATACAAATGGCTAATAAGCACATGAAAAAAATGCTCAAATTATTAGTCATTAGAGAAATGCAAATCACCACAGGAGATACAACTTTATATCCACAAGGCTGGCTATAATGAAAAAGATGAAGAATAACAAATGTTGGCAAGGATGTGGAGAAACTAGAACCCTCATACATTGTTGGCGGGAATGTAAATTGGTGCAGTTGCTTTGGAAAGCAATTTGTGAGTTCCTCAAAAAGTTAAAAAGAGTTACCATATGACCCAGCAATTCCACTTCTATGTGTACTCAAGAGACTTGAAAACATATGTCCACACAAAAACTTGTACATGAATGTTCATATCATAGCCAAAGGGTGGAAGTATCTGTTGAATGAAAAAATAAAATTGGTATATCCATACAATAGAATATTTTTCAGCCATAAAATGAAGTTCTGATATATTTTACAACATAAATGAACTTTGAAAACATTACACTAAGTAAAAGAAGACAGACACAAAAGGCCACATGTTGGATGTTTCCATTTATATGAAATGTCTAGAATAAGCAAATCCATGGAAACAGAAAATAGCTTAGCGCAGAAAATAGCTTAATGGTTGCCAAGTGATTAAATGGGGGGAGGAATGTGTAGTACTTGCTAATGGGCATGGGATTTCTTTTGGGGGTTAATGAAAGTATTCTGGAATCAAATAGTGGTGATCCATTCATAACTTTATGAATATACTAAAAACCACTGAAATGAACACTTGATTATTTTTTATTTTTAAAAATTTATCTTTATTGTTAAAAGTATTACATATGTAATTCCTTTTATCCCCTGTTGACACCCTCCTGCCAGCTCCTGACCGCTCACTCCCCTCACCTTCACCACACTGTTTTCTGTGTCCCTTGGTTATGTGTATATGCATGTAAGTTCTTCGGTTTATCTCTTCCTACCCATCTCACCCCCCTTTCCTCTGAGGTCTGTCCGTCTGTTCCCTACTTCCATGTCTCTGGATCTATTTTCTTCATCAGCTTATTTTGTTAATTATAGTCCACAAATAAGTGAGATCAAGTGGTATTTGTCTTTCTTTGACTGGCTTATTTTGCTTAGCATAATAGTCTTCAGGTCTCTCCATGTTGTCTCAAAGGGTAAGAGATCCTTCTTATAGCTGCAGAGTATTCTATTGTGTATAAGTACCACAGCTTTTTTTTTTAATCCTCACCTGAGGATATTTTTCCATTTATTTTCAGATAGAGTGGGAGGGGTAGAGAGAGAGAGAGAGAGAAACATCGATGTGAGAGAGACACATTGATTGGTTGCCTCCCTCATGACCCCGATCAGGGCCGGGGATGATCTGCAACCGAAGTACAAGTCCTTGGACTAGAATCAAACCTGTGACTCTTGGTCCATGGGCTGATGTTCTAATCACTGAGCCAAACCTGCCAGGGCTATGTACTACAGCTTTTTAATCCACTCATCTGCTGATGGACACTTGGGCTGTTTACAGATCATAGCTATTGTAAATAGTGCTGCTATGAACACAGGGGTACATAAATTATTTCTGATTGGTGTTTCAGACTTCTTAGGATATATTCCTAGAAGTGGGATCACTGGGTCAAATCACAGTTCCATTTTTAATTTTTTGAGGAAACACAATACTATTTTCCATAGTGGCTGTACCAGTCTGCATTCCCAGCAGCAGTGTACTAGAGTACCTTTTTCTCCACATCCTCACCAACACTTGTTGTACATAGAAAATCCTAAAGACTCTACCAAAAAACAAACAAACAAACAAAAACTAGTAAATTTAATAAACGAATTTGGCAAAGTAGCAGGATACAAAATTAACCTCCAGAAATTGATGGCATTTCTATACTCCAATAATGAACAATAAGAAAGAGAAGCAAAAAAACAAAAAAACCCAAAAAACAAAAACCCATTGCAACAAAAAAATTAATATACCTAGGAATAAACTTAACCAAAGAGGTAAAAAAACCTGTTCTCAGAAAACTATAGAACATTGAAAAAAGAAACAGAGGAAGATATAAAAAAAAGTGGAAGCATATGCCATGTTCATGGATTAAAATGTACACTTTAGAAGGTGAATTTAAAAAAAACTAGAGCTGCCCTGGCCGGTTTGGCTCAGCGGTTAGAGCGTCCGCCTGCGGTCCGGAGAGACCCGGGTTCGGTTTCCGCTAAGGGCATGTACCTCGGTTGCAGTTTGTCCCCGGCCCTGGTTGGTCGTGCGGGTGGCAGCCACTCGATGTGTCCCTTTCACATTGATGTTTCCCTCTCTCTCTCTTCCTCTCTCTCCCTCCCACTCTGTCTGTACAAAAAATGGAAAAATTTCCTCGGATGAGGATTAAAAAAAAAACAAAACTAGAGCTTTATGATACATAAATTATATCTCATAAAATTGTTATAAAAAATTAAAAGAAACAATCCAAATGCCCTCTTTCTTGCACCATAAACCAAATAATAATAATTTTTGGGTATGACACCTGGGCATAGGTTTTTTGTTTTGTTTATTCTTTTTAGTATACAGCCAGCATTGAGAACTATGTAGGAGATGAAAACTTGTCAGTGATTTAGTCTATGTGGCTCCTTTTTTCCCTAAGCAAAAACAAAACACATGAGGACATGAATTCAAATCCTGGCTAAATTTTAAATTTCATTTTAATAGATTCTGATTTTTATTTGTCTCTTCAGTTTGAGTGTGTGCGATGTTGCTTCAAATAACCTTAAAAAAAAAAAAAAAGAAAAAGAAAAAGAAAGAAAGCAAGTAGGTAGACAATTTTTAGCATATCCCCAAATGATAGCAAAAATATGTGCTGAAATTGGAATAAAAAACACAAAGCAATTAATTGTTTTAGAGAAATTTTGGAGAGTCTTCTTTACAAAGTTGGTTCTTAATGCTTTTTGGTCTATTTCTCAGGTAGTTGTAGTTGACTTGAATTTTAGTTCTAGCTTTACTTACCATCTGCTCAGTGATTTTAGGCCTCACACAGTTCATTCATTAAAAAAAAAAAGAACTGTATTGTCATGTGCCAGGCAATGGGGTTATATATACTGGGAAATCATGTATCACAGCTGTGCTCGCTGCTCTCATGCAGTTTATGACCTAATTTTAGTTTTTTTTGCTTAAAAAGTGAAGACATTGAACTAAAAGGTCTCCAGATTATTTAATCTTTTATTGGGCCAGCATAAAGGTAGAAGATGGACCAGAGAGAGAATTCTTGTGGGTCTCTTCCATCTTCTGGGATTTAAGGGAACAAATATGCAAATCTCTTGAAGGCTGTTCTTAAAATTTGCAGTGAAAGATACATTAACTCTTTGGGTTACAATTTCTCTTACCTCTTCATCCTACCCTTGGAATGGCTAATAAACAAAGTCAAAATGTTTTAAAACATTTAAATTTCTTCACAAAAGTCTGTATCACAACTTTAAAACAAATCTATTTGTTTATCTATGTCAGGTGTGAAAAAGCCATTTCCAGTGTACCACCCAATCAGAATGAACACAATTAATCATAATTAACATCCTAGGAATCTCAGTACAAATTAAAAAATTCCAAATGCATAACTGTGATGCTCATGCCAACAGAAGACCATATTCTACCTTCCAAGAGAAAACGTGCTCCAAGATTCCATTCAAAGGAGATGAAAATACCATCAAATTATCAACTTTAAAATTCTTGGTATAATTATCTCCCAAAGAGCTCCTACATCTTTGCCAAGAGAAAACCTTTACTGGAGATCTGTATATTTTGTTAATTATTATATTTCGATTTTAGAAAAAAAGTCTTTATACCATTGTTCTAAGCAAATTATTTTTTTCTCCTCCAGAAAACAAGATTTTGGTGAAGCAGTCACCCATGCTTGTGGTGTACAACAATGCTGTCAACCTTAGCTGCAAATATACCTACAACCTCTTCTCAAAGGAGCTCCGGGCATCCCTTTATAAGGGAGCAGATAGTGCTGTAGAAGTCTGTGTTGTGAATGGAAACTACTCCCATCAGCTTCAGTTTCACTCAAAAACAGGATTTGACTGTGATGGGAAATTGGACAACGAAACAGTGACATTCTACCTCTGGAATTTGTCTGTTAATCAAACAGATATTTACTTCTGCAAAATAGAAGTCATGTATCCTCCACCGTACATAGACAACGAGAAGAGCAATGGAACCATTATCCACGTGAAAGGTAACATGCAACTCTACTAAAGTACCACTCTAAATTAATAGTTTTCAAGTGTGGTCTTGAAAACTAGGTCATGTTTGGTGGTGGGACTGGATAATCCCAAAGAAGGGAGACTAAAGAGGAAGTCTACACATTTTAAGTTAGTGATATTTTGTATATTTTGGTCCCTTTCACATTTTTCCACAGTGTTCAGAAGGAAAAAAAAATGTATTCAAGTGCCACTCCCATATCATTTAATCCACTCTATTCTATTTTTCAGAGAATCAGATTTGTCAGTTTCAAGGAATTCCTACGTCTTACAAGATATTTTGGGCACTGCTGGTGGTTGGTGGAGTCTTGGCTTTGTATAGCTTCCTAGTAACAGCGGTTCTTTGGATTCACTGGGTAAGAGAAGCATCAATGCTTTTATGTAAACTTTTCTACTGCACATGCAATCTGATCATGTTCAAGAATTTTGCCTATATAGTTTATTTTCTGTTTAACATGTGATTTTTATTATTTCTTTTCTTCTTGTGAGGTTTAAATAGGTTCTCTTTTAGTCTGTTCAAATTTATCTGAGATAAAAATCTGACAGGCATTCTATTTTCCAGAAGGCATTGGTTAGGAGGCCAAATAATAAAAAAATTCATGGTTAAATTAGTGTGGGGGTATTAAGGGAAGTTATATTTTTCCCTCCCCATTTGCAATATCATTATGACATAAAATAGTTTTAATATGTACATATGTATAAAAATCAAACAACTTGGGAATCTAGACAACTGAAGTCAATGAACAACTTTGGTTCAGGGTCAAAAATCATGAGAAATTTGGCTACTGAAATTGTGCATTCAAACCTAGCAAAGAAACTAGGTCTGTTTATCTGAGTCATATTTTTATCTCCTCAGAAGCAGTTGCATTTTGTGAGGCCAAGTATAGTACTGTCATTATGAAACTATAATGAGAATTAGCCTTTTCTGAGCTCTCAACACTAAATTGGAGTTTAGCAACTTTCGCAAATGTTCATTCAATAAACTTGGTGTATATGTATATATATATATATTTTTACCTCTGCAGCATTGAATTTTTCACTGAGGTTTGAGAATATCATGATAACCATATCTACTGTTAAGAAGGTACCTCCTTATCAAGGATCTTTCCCTTACTCAGGGACTTCCTGTTCTTATGTACACATGGGGGTATAGAATAACTGTGTATTGATTCCATTTTGTCTTTAAATTTTTTTCTAAAAGTTAGAGGCATGTATGAGTCACTCCTTCAACAAGAAATGTATACTCCTCAAGGATAAAGTACTATTTCTCTTTATATTTGCCACCTATCTCTTTATATTTGCCACTTAAGTATTAAGTATGTTTAATGCTTAATGAATGCTTAAGTTCATAATCTCCATAAAGGCCAAACTAAGGACTGAAATAAACATGTCTGAAGGATAGCCCCATCTTCAAGGCATATGCCATACATATAACTAATTTATACATGGGTCAGAGATTTCTGGAAGCCATGCCATGTGAAGCCATCCTATTTACTATACAGTCTTGGTGCTGGGAGGGGTTGAGCAGCCATGGGTTCACAGCCATGCCAATGATAGATATAACCTGGGATGCTCTTAATCTCTTCTTGACCTGTTTGCCTCTTAATTGTTCTCCACATACTTCTCCCATTTCAGAAGATCCTTGGGGTATTCTAGACATTGGTCATTCTGTCTGTTGCCTAATCTGTACCTTTTGCAGGGTAGGGAACCAAGTGGCTGCTTGTTCCTGGAAATCCTTCACACTAGATAACATCTTGAGAATTTGCCTGCCTTGCCTTCTTCAAGTTGCCCAACCCTGATGGGAGCTTTTTCTGCTGTGAAATATTGGCTAAGTTCTTCTTCTGATGTTTGTTGAGTCCCTTCATCTTTCTGGATCTTGGTCCGAGGTCCCTTCCAGCTTTGAACTACTGAGGTGTTTGCTAATGATTTTAGAATTTAGACTCTTAATTCTTGTTTTTTTCTGATCCCATTGGGAATCTCAACTTCTTAACTTAAAAAGCCAAGTGTAGTGGCTTTTTGAGTACCCTTCCAGGACAGGTGCTCCCCTGTAATATGCTGACCTAGGTCAACTAGTTTTGCAGGAAGTAGTTTTGGGAACTGCTTTAACTTTCAGTGGCCAGAAGGGTACTGATTATCATTTAAAACTTATTGTAACTATGCATTAGAATATCAGTTACTGTAATCAGGCACTAACTTGCTAAGTGACTCAAATCAACCAAAGGGACAAAAGTAGCTTCTCATTTTCAAGGAGTTTCAACAATTTACTTTTAACTCAGAAACAACGTAGACACTATGGGTTTTTCTTTGGCAGTACTACTAATTCCCAGTAGGGTTTATCTTGCTTTGTCTTAAGAAAATTTATTTTGGTCTTATTCTGTCTCATAGGATCCCTGTAAACAGGGAAGTTCCAGTGTTTGATATATCTTATCATCTGTGGCCTCTTGTAGTGTATTTGGTTACTCTATAACTATCTTTTATTTTTATCTCAGACCTAATTAGTTCTTTGCATTCTCTGACCAAAAGAGTGTGAAAAAAACATATATCTATATTTCATAGAATAATGTAGCATTTTTACACTAGGCCCATCTTTTCTTGCTGTTGTTACTATTTAAGCAACTACCACCTAGCTGATCTAGGCAATCAGACCATTAGGGATCCCTACAGTTTAGTTACTTCCTGGGTACTTTTTGGGGATCTTATTTTTGGCTGGACTGCACTGTGCTTTGGTATAAGTTGCTGTTTTCCGGAACTTCCTGAGGGCTTGTGATGTGCTACTGTAGGCAGATCTAGGCTGAGTGGGTTTCTGGGAGCAGCTGCAGATTCTATCTCAGTTCTTGACCTATTGCTGACAGTTGAATAAATAAAGAGCTCCCCTTGACCAGGCTGCCACAAACCAGCACCTGTTACTCTCACTCAATCCTTCATTCACTAAATTGCTTTGTGTATGCCTTGTGTCATGTTGCTATTCCCAGTAAACATGGACAAGGGCTGCAGCAAAGGGAAGGGCAAGGGAGGTGGCTCCTGACATTGGATGGTGAAGGGGCAGAGTAGATGACCCAGTCACACAGACACATGAGGTGAGTACTGCAAACATACGTGCATATGTTAGATGCACATGGACACTGTGGTTTCTGCATAGTGTTTCCAGTTATGCATGTGTCATTTCCATACTTCTGTTGTGTTTCAAGTTAGGGTGATAATGACTAAATCCACCATCTGATATCAGCATGAGGGTAGGCATGGGAGTTGATTGCAGCAGGTCTTTCATACTCTTTGTGTGCAACCTGAAAAACCCAGAACCAAAACATCTTAATTATTGGGCTCTCTCTACCAGCTATAGCTTTATTTGGATGTCTGGAGACTGTCATTTGGGAATCTGGCAAGTGGAATCTTCAGGGTTGGAATAAGTACTAAAATTCTTCCCAGGGTATCAGAAGCAGCCTTCCACATTGATTTGGGGATAAATATTTCCATGTCCTTATTCCTGTCCTGCTATAACCCTGTGGCCAAGAGAACTCTTGCCTTTCATTTGTAGAAAGGATATACAATCAGCAACCCGCATGCACTTGAATTCCATGACTTCCTCTCTCTGAATGAATCTCTCAATTATGTGTGTTTAATGCTATCCTCTTCTTAGTTCTAGCTAGATAACTCATCCATTATCTCAAGTCTCAAATGACTAAAGCAGAATCCATAACATCCCTCAAATACACTTCTCCTACTGCCTTACCGTATGTCTATAGATGAAACACCATCCTTCTAGTCACTCAGGCTCAAATCATCAGTCATCTTTGGGTATGAGCAAGAGGGAGGAATCAAGCAGTCTAACAATGATCATACTAATTTGATGATACATTTTGTATCTATTGCTTCCTTTTCATTCCATTTTCCTTTTTAATCCTCACACAAGGATATTTTTTTCATTTATCTTCAGGTAGGCTAGGAGGAAGGGAGAGAGAGAGGGAGAGAGAGAGAAACATCAGGGTGAGAGAGACACATTGACTGGTTGTCTCCTGCATGACCTGGCCAGGGCTGGGGACGAACCATAACCAAGGTACGTGCCCTTGACCAGAATCGAACCTGGGACTCATTGGTCTGCAGGCTGACGCTCTAACTACTGAGCCAAACCGGCCAGAGCTCATTCCATTTTTTTTTATGACCAGATTCTAAATTAGAATTTCTTAGTCTTGGCACTATTGACATTTTGGGCTGGATGATTCTTTGTTATTGGGGGGCTGCTCTGTGCAACGTAGAATATTTAGCAGCATCTCTGGTCTCTACCCACCGGATGCCAGTAGCATTCCTCCCAGGTGTGACAACCCAAAATGTATTCAAACATTGTCCAGTGTCCCCTAGTACAGGGGATAAGGGAGCTGGAGGTGGCTAGAATGAGGCTTAGGAGGTCTGGCATGGCAACTGTGTATATGTAGTGTCACTCACTGAGAAGAGAAACCCTATGAGCGGACCAGAGTTCAGGAAAAGATCTTGAGTTTTGTTTTGGATGTGTTGAGTTTAAAATCATTTTGAAGTCTAGTCCAGAGGTATAAGTTTGGGTGAATAGATGATAATTGAAGCTGTGAATGCTGATGAGCTTGCCTGGGGAAAGAGAGGATGAGCAGGTAGAGGAGAAGGCCTAGGACAACTGTGAGAAGCTCTAATAATGAATGGCTAGTTGGAAAAGTGAAGGAGGCTGAAAAGAGTGGTCAGAGAGGCAGAATGAAAACATGGATGGTACCATCTCAAAGGCAGCAAAGTTGAAGAGTGTTTCAAAAGGGAGAGAGTAATCAATAATTAAGAATGTTGCTGCCCTAGCAAAATTTGCCAGTGGTTAGAACATCGGCCTGTGGACCAAAGAGTCTCAAATTTGATTCTGGTCAAGGGCATGTACCTTGGTTACGGTTTGATCCCTGGCCCTGGTTGGGGTCGTTTGGGAGGCAAACAACTGATGTGTCTCTCTCACATCAATATTTCACCCTGCCCCTCTCTCTTCCTCCATCCCTCCTTCCTTCCCACGCTGCTGAAAATCAATGGAAAAATATCCTTGAGTGAGGATAATAATAACAATAATAATGATAATAATAATAATAACAACAAATAAAGAATGTTGCTGAGAGTTCAAGAAAATGAGGACTGAAAACATGTTAGTCATATTTATTGATGTGGAGGTCAATGTTTTTCCAATCTTTCTTTAACACTTGCTCATGAACCTTTGACAAGGAAGGTGTGAAGTGCTTAGGTAGAAGTGCATGAAAATAAGGCCAGGGCTGAAGTAATTTTCTTACTTATTTATGCAGGTGTTCACATCACTCATATCCAGTATATCTACTTATGCATCAGGCCTATGTGAAATAGACATTTCTTTACATAATAGAGAATTCTGAATCCAGAAATCTGGATGGTTTTCTATTATTAGAATTTTATGGGTCTTTTATCAAATATATAAATTTCACAATCATATTGATGCAGAGAAGATGCTCCTTAATCAAAACTTTACTACGACTCACGGGAGTGTAACTCTTGCTCCAGGGAGGTATTGTCCTACTTTTCTTGCCCCTCCTAGAAATATGTTCAGAGGGAGCTGAGCCTGAGAACTAAAGATAAGTGATTCTTTTGTCTTTATAGAAATGTAAATACATATAAATAAATAGGAATGTAACTAGTTGCCTAGAACTATCTTACCATTAATTTGGAATCCACTGCTATGAATTTATGATTACTCCAGACTCTGAAGGGCGAAGGTCCTCTTGGGTTAATTATGGAAAAAGAGTTTGTTAAGCAAATAACTAAAGTAAGAAGATTGTGGTGGGGATGCTTAACCTTTGGAAAGGAAGAAGGGCCTTCAAGAGTGTTTATATATCAATATCAGATATGTTAATTAAATGTGGTTTTGAAATTCAGATTAAATGACCTCTTTGAGAGTAACAGGGGTGCATTTCTCTAAAATACTTTCTTTGATTCAGATTTTTCAAGTTAATATAGAAGAGTCCAAAGTGGTTAAGTTTGATTAGTCATGGTCCAAGCCCAAGGTGCTTAATGAATTCTGGTGTTCAGCATTATTTGACAGTCCATGGTCTGAATAGCTGCCCCCAAAGTCTTAGAACTCCTCTCATGACATCTTCCTCCATGTTCTCTGCCCTTCACAGTACACTTCTCTTTTCTGCAGATAAATAGTAAGAAGAACAGGATCCTTCAGAGTGACTACTTGAACATGACCCCCCGGAGGCTAGGGCCCACCCGCAAGCACTACCATCCCTATGCTCCAGCACGAGACTTTGCTGCCTACCGCTCCTGACATGGCCGCCTATCCAGATGCCAGCCGGCTGACATCTCTTCATCTGCTCAACACCACTGCTCTGGATAGGAAAAGACCACCTCATCTTCAGCCGGCCACCTCAGGCCCTGTTATGCCACAAATGCCAATTTTTCTTGACTGACTAGACCAAATAATATCATTTTGAACTCTGGAATGGAGTTAAAGAATATTACTATGGCAGGCTAAATCTTGCAGCGTTATGACCAAAATTCAAACTTGCTATGTATTTATTGACTAGATTGAGAGGTTAGGGTAGAAAATATAAAGTGAGTGAATTCTGTTAGCCTTAAAATCTGCTTACAATTTACTCCTTTCTTCACCCCCTGCACATGGTCAAGTGAAGTGTGATATTGAAGGACTTTATAGATGGAGAAGAAAGGTTAGGAAATCATTTCTCGTTGATTAAATCCCCATTTAGGATGGGAATAGGTTAGAGTGGAGGAGGAGGGTAGAGAGACTTGAAAAATTTTAAAACCATAAAACACTGTCTCTCACTCATGAAATGAGCCACTTAGTTCCTATTTAGTGTTGTTTTAGTTTTAGTTTAGAAAGATATAGACATTGTCTTTGATGAATTCTGGTCATATTTAGTCATTTTGACCAATGGAATACCTTCAAAGCAAGGCAAGGCAAACTGACTTGCTTTTCTTACTCCCTGTGATGGAAATTCAATGTAGTCTTCACAATATGATTTTAAAAAATAATAAAGTAGCCCTTCCACACCAAGAAAGAATATGTTTGGAAGTACAGCCACCTGATGTTAAATTATTTAAATATTATGAAGGGTTGTTTAGCACCACATTCCAGTCAACTCCTATAGGGGGCTTTTCTGTTTCATATATTTCAGGTTTGCACAGCTGGTCTCTTTATTGTCTGTGTGTAGATCTGAATTGGAATATTAAATGCTCATCCATAGGAGAAGTGATGATACTGTTAAAAAGGGATGTTAGCATTCATCAGTGTGTGGGGGAAAAGTCCCAAGAAACTTCTGCTGAAGGAGGGAGAATAGAAGGAATGAGTTGATTCTTGTCATGTACTGAGTGACTGGCTGGTGGAAAATTTCCAGAAGATGGCCAGCTGAAGGAGTCCTAATAAAAGCTTCTTTACAGAAACTTCAGTGCTTTAGGGCTCAGAGCTCCAGAACTTTGTGGGTCCAGGTGCCTGTTTACCCTGGAGGTCCATTGACATGGACAAGTATTTTTGAGGTCTTTTGAGACAGCGTCCAAGTTTTCAAGATACCCTGTAAGGTTTGCCCCTGGAATGACCGTAGATATTTTTCTACCTCCAGTTTGGGTTGACTGGAGTACCTGGTGACCTTGAAGAATGGCTCTACTGCTACCTTTTTAATTGTTCAGTGCTTCAATTTATTCAGATGTTAGAGGAGTCTAGGTTTTAGAGGCAGACAGACCTGGTTCAAGTCTCATTGCTAGTTGACCTAAGGCAAGTAACTGTCTTTCTAAGACTTTCTAAGTCTTTCTAAGACTATGGTTCTTCAACCATAAAATGGAGATAATGATCACAAATGTCTGTCCTTCTACTGTAATTTCCTTCAGGATATGGCCCTAGTTTGTCTTTCTTTATACTTGTCCCTGGCACTTAGTACCATGCCTGGCATACAATGTTAGCTATTATTATTATTGCCAGATAGGTCAATTGTGTGTAAAAATTAAACTGGGCAACACCCTGAGAAGGGAGAGAATATTATAACACAAATTTAAACCCACTATCCAGGGATGAGATGCTATAAAATTTGAGAGCTTCTTAATTTCCACCATTATCTTGTTTTGGATTATTTTAGCTTGCAATGAAAAGGACAGCATTCCACCTCCCAGCTTTCTGTATATAAAGAGGACTTCTTTAATTTTTTTGCAGTCTGGGGAGAGGTATGACTATTATGAAAATAATGATTTTTAAGTGGGTTTCCATTCCATAAATTTAATTGATCTAAAGAATGCCAAACCCAAGAGTACCTGAGTGACAGAATAGTTGAATTTAAGCTGGCACACGTGTCACATCGCCAGTCTCTTGGCACACAGAGTTCTTTAATCCAAGTCATCAAATTGGATTTGAAAATGTTAGAGCTATAGAATTTGTAGAAAGGGCAATGACAAATAAATAAATAAATAAATAAAATTAAAATGGAAAGATCTGATCTTTGGCGACAACTGGTTTGATTTTCTGATGGGAAAAATGGGTTCACTAAAGATGAATCACACTTTAGATTTTTCTTACTCACTTTGAACAGAATCAAAGGAGAATGTTAACAGGGAAGTCCTTTCTCACTATTAGTATAAACCAAGAAATGGTTTAAAAACAGTGGTTGCTTTTACAGTTTCAGATATGGTAACTATGAAGAAAACAATGTCTTTTGCTGCTTTTATTCTAAGAGTTTTATATTTAATATTTCTATAAGTTTTTATTGTGAGCTTGCTTATTTTGGGCTGAGCACACCAATTTAAAGAGACCAAGTATACATTATGTTCTATGTATTCAGTGATAAAATTACTGAACTTCCATGTGCCTGTTTTTAAATTTGTGCTTTAATATTGTCTTTCAAATCAGATATGCTTCACTTTTGGCAACAAAGCTAGAGAAAACTTGCTATTTTTTAAAAAAACGTGGGATCAATTATTTTCACAAATCTCCAATTTAATCCTTTTTAAAAAGTTGAGACTTTCAAATATTTTCACTTCAAACAAGGGACATTCTAGCTTGACTTTAGTCACAATTTCTCATTAAAACAATGGTTTACGTCTCTGAAATGTCAGGTTGGGTTTACCTGCACATTCTGTGGGATGTAAGTCTCTCTTATCGGTAAATGCATTTTTTTCTAACAGGTTCCTGTCAGTGAGTAAAAATAATACTGTTAGAAAGAATCATCCTAAAAAGTCATGTTAAATAAGCCACAGTCAAGAGTTAAGTTGAATTCCCATTGAAGTCCTCAAATGCCCTCTTAATGGAGTATTAACAATGTTTTAAACACGCCTTTAGCAAAAACTTCTAAAAATGTTGCCTTTGTAGTTAAAATCTCGCACTACTACTGAACTGCTGCTCTTTTCTGTGGAGTGATTTTTGTCTCAACAACTTCTATAAATGCTTCACCTGGCTGTGATTCAAAAAGAGCTCAAAGATGGGAACGCTGAGGACAGACCATTTCAGCTTCTTCATCTGTCATGCTCATGTCACAACTGGACACTAATGTCTGGCAGTAGTTTAAAAATAAACAACAACAACAACAAACAAAACTGTGGCACTTGGAACAACTGGAAATTCAAATCAAACATATTAATCATTACACACACACACACACACACACACACACACACACACTCCCCTATCATTTTGTGGGTATGGGCTGACCCTTGAACAAGGGACACAAAGGCTAGTCCGATGATTCATACAGCAGCTCCTATTTACTTCATTGCAACCTGTGCTTTGAGGACGGCCTAAAGTCAAACGTGTGCAATGAGTTGGTTCATCTTCGCACTTAGTTTTTGTTGAAATGGAGCTCATTAAACTTGAATAAAGGAACTAAAACTTGCAAAAGGTGAGCCTATACATTTTCTACTCCAAGAAAGACTGAACTCAAATAATCACTCATAAGTTCAATAGGACAGATTTAATCAATAGAGGAGGGACACACCTTAGTAAAAATCAGCCATTAAATGAATCTGCTCAATAACCACTCCTTTATTGGGCTAATAAAAATAATATAAACTAGTTCTGTAAAAAGGTTGTAGTACCTTGAAACTCAAGTTCAAAATGAAATAAAATGCAAACTTCATGACTGTACCTAAATAGAACTCCTACTATGTTTTAGCTACATGACCATGTAAATATGTAATTGCCTGAAGCCCTGAATTCACTTTTTCCCCCTCCAGTCAGATAAAACAGATTGATTGTTTTTAAAGCAGTACCCTTTCTCCTCTCTCATCTTATGTGGATAAGTGAGAAAAATCAAAGAAATTTCTGGATCCATCATAATGGTGATCTGACCACTATCCTAAGCAGCAGCAAATGGGATGATCTTGGAACCATACCAGACCTTGTTGGGTAACTTATCTGGGTCTCCAAAATGGAGAGGCACTGTGTAACTCCTGACTTTTCAACAGTGGTGCTCAGAAGACGTTTTGTTTTTCAGGAATGAATCTGAGTGGGTGGACCTCTCAACTTTCACTGATTTGGTATCCCAAAGGAACTTGTGTTTTCCCTTCAAAGATTCATGGGCTCTCACCCCTTACACTGTCCAGAGCAAAATGTGGCATGCTTTCTCAGTGTGTCTTCTGTTCATTTGAGGGTATGGACACTGGGCTCTACACTTGACAAACTTCTGGGATGAAAGATAAGGGATCCAAGAATAGTTTGTCTTTTCCAAGCTGACCTCATTATTGAGGCCACTCCTAAATCAGAATGGGTGCTTCTCAAGCCTTATTCCCTCTCCTGGTTACCTATTTCAACTCTGTGAAAGGTTTTGGGGTGCTGGGAGTTTCGGGGACAAAAAGTCACAGTAAGGTTAATGTATCTTAGAGTAGGGGTAAAACTGATTCTACTTATACTGCATCTAGCAGAGCTACCTCAATGGCATATTTAAACACTCCTCTTGCTCCAAAGAACAAATGGTGAGAGCTGGGTGGAAATGTCAGTTGAGACAGAAGAGCAGCAAACAGCTTTGTTTTCCTATAGTTGTGGTTTTACATGGTGATGATGACACACGAAGATGAAAATGTGCAGCCTGAACTCCAGTTGTTATCTGAGTGAGCATCTCTGCCAACACTGAAGGATATGTGTGGGTGTCACCTGCAAGCAAAGAGAGAGAGAGAGAAAGAAAAAGAGGCCCTATTTCGGAAAGAAGAGCCAGTTAATCAAAGATCAACAGTGACAAGTGATACTGTTTATTTCATGAGCTTTATATTTGATTTCCTTCCCCTTGCTAATCTCTAAGTCTGAATTTACTCTCTGGACTAAATATATAAGTGTTTGATGGCAGACAAAGAGGGTTGAAAAGATAGTCTTGAATGAGCATTATGGCAGTTACCATAGTTATTTAGTCATGTCTTTAGTCTCCTGGGTGCACACTTAGCATTTGCTATGTTAGCTTCCAAAGTGGGAATTTTTGTTAACTCTTGGGAAGCTGTGACATTTGCACAAGGGTAGACAAACATGAGGTACTTATTTGGGACCCTCTTTCACTCCTAACACTGTGCAACTTTTATTTCAGTTGTTTTATATTTCTTCCTCCTCATTCATTCCATAACTATTAAATGAGTACCTGCCCAGCTATAAGAAGCGGGCTAGGTACTGGCGATATGGCAGTGAATAACACAAACATCATCTCCACACTTACCAAGTGTAGAGTGTAGACTTTGTATATGCCCCCACATTTATTTAATACCCTGCTTCTCAGGGTAACCACTTAGTCTTAATTATGGGCTTAGACCTTAATGTGGCTATTTGATAGTTTTTGCTTTGTGTTGCCCCAAATTTATTTTTTTGAGATGCTGTTATTTAACATCTCTAACTCATTTAATGTCTTAGATCAGGGGCTGATATGTTTTTTGTTTCCCTGTAAAGGGCCAGATAGTAAATATTTTAGGCTTTGTGACCATCCAGTCTCTTGCAGCTAGAGACTCTGCCATTGTAGTGTAAAAAGAGGCAGAGATGATAATCAAACAAATGAACATGTCTGTGTTCCAATAAATCTTGACTTGTGGGTATTGATATTTTAATTTCATAGTTTTCACTTCACACAACATTAATAGTCTTTTGATTTTTTTTTCTGACCATTTACACGTGTAAAATCCATTTATAGCTCATGGGCTGTTCAAAGGCAGGTGGTGGGCCAGATTTGGCCTGCAGGCTGCAGAATGCTGACTCCTAACTTAGACCCAAGGCCACAAACTTGTCTGAGTTCTTGCCACCATCTACATTTTTAAGGGTAGCAGGAATCAGTTTGGATATGTGTAGAGGCTTACTGGGGATGGCAAACACTAAGTATCTGTTTGAAAGAAAGACATGGATCCGTGAAGAAGAAGGAAAAAGAAACTTCATCTGAGGGAAAATCATTTTAGGAAGAAGAAACAGAAAATTATAAGAAAAAGAGGAGAAGAAACTGTTTCAAGATGGTAGAGTCCCCTGTACATTGTGGCTGAAAATCTTGGGAATTATGGTTACTCTTCTCTTATGCCCTGTTTGCCCTTTCTCTTCTTTTTTATATATCAAATGCTTTTAACCTCTAAAGAAACAAAATAAATTTCAAGTCACAGAAGGCAGGGCACAAAAAATAGTTTGTCTTTCCTTGTGAAGTCTTCCACACGTACTAAAATCCACCTTGGGGTGGATGCAGCAGAGATCAGGAGCAGCTCCCTAAGAATTGGCCTCCCCTTTTCTGTCTATCACACTTTTTCAATTCGTACTTGGCTGCAATTTTATGGGTGACCAAGAGTGAACCCCTCTCGCCCCCAGTTTAAACTAAGGCTCAGGACTTCACAGGTGACTGGTGAAATCAGTTTTACTTGGATAAGAAAGGCTCTGACCAGACACTTATCATTCCTTCACCTGCATTCTCCACTCTTGCCCACAGCTGCTGGTCACACCCAAGGTACAAACAGTCCCTGGAAGCAGCCCAGTGTATGTGGGCACCCTGAGCTACACACCCATTCACACCATCTGGGCAATTTAAAAATAGGGCCAAATGTAGCATTTAGCCTGATCTTCCCAGTTAAGAGCAGGAAATTGCCTCTAAAAGGTCAGATGATTAATATTATTGTGCTGTCTTGGGTGTCAGTAAAGAAAAAAATTCTGGCAGAATTAATTTATGCTGACTTTGTACATGGCAGTCAAGTTATGAGTCTGGGAGAACAGCCTCAGGAATTCCAAGATTTTTCTTTTTCAGCCGGCAGGTCACTGTGTACATTAATGCATGGTATGCCCTGCACAATGACTCCTAATCCAAGGTATAGAGGGGGCTGAAATCTAGTCAGCATCCCCTTAGAAAGCTTTGCATCTGCAAGAGCTGTGTCTGCCTGGAGAGGGCATCTTTCTTTGATGTCCAACACGTTGGCTATTGAGGCCCTGAGAGAATGCTTGCCTTTTTGCCACTGTTTACAAGGCTCTTTATAGCATAAATTAGATCACCATTCTCAAAAGAGGAATTATCTAGGAAGAACAAAAGTTAAAATAAAACCAATAAATGCCCGGCTGGTGAGGCTCACTAAGAAATCGCTGGTTAAATTCCCCGTCAGGGCACATGCCCAAGTTGTGGGCCAAATCCCCAGTCAAGGGGCATGCAGGAGGCGGC